AGTCTTAATTAAGGTATAGCAGGAAGCATGTAAGATTATTTGTATTTTTTAAAGTCTATGTCCTAAGGCTCCGATACTATATAAATTTCTGTCATAACTATAAAATCTGTGAGTAAATGGTCACACAATGCAGGCTACATTTTTTGAAAGATCTTTTTTTTTTCTTTTTGAGGAAGATTAGCCCTGAGCTAACATCTGCTGCCAATCCTCCTCTTTTTCCTGAGGAAGACTGGCCCTGAGCTAACATCCATGCCCATCTTCCTCCACTTTATATGTGGGATGCCTGCCACAGCATGGCTTGCCAGGCGGTGCCATGTCCGCACCCGGGATCCGAACCAGCGAACCCGGGCCGCCGAAGCAGAACATGGGAACTTAACCACTGCGTCACTGGGCCGGCCCCTGAAAGATCTTTAAAAACATAAAGACAGAGTAAGAGCCCTTTGGGTTTTTCTGGAAGGAAGCAGGGCAAAATTGCAGAGCAGGAGGAGGTCTGAGACGTGCCCAGGTTCTGTGCCGTGAGCCTCATACGCCTCTGGCAGATGAGCACACTGCCCTCCGCCCCACAGGGTTAGGTAAGTGGAGAGCTGAAGGCTCTCAGCACACCATCTAGCAGAGCAGGTCAGTGATCAATGTGGGTTTCAGATTCTGGGGACAGGACAGTCCTGAAGCATGATTCGGAGATACCAGGAACGTTCAGACTTGACGGCACTTATGTGGGCACCTCACAGGAAAATCTCTAATTTTACCCAGTCCACATGTTTTATATTGGCTCAGGGACAATAGCAAAAATGATGCATGGTTCCAAAAAACCTTAACTCTAAAGCCTTCCACTTATATTTGGGTGGCAGGACCATAGGTGATTATTACTTTATTCGGTAAAGTTCTTTTTCTATTTCATCACACACAATCTCCTTCATCCCCCCAAAAATCTGCCACACAGAAATGCAAGTACTTTAAATCTGTTCTTTCTGCTTTATCTGGCTCACAATTCTATTAATGATTTCACTTTTCCATGCATTAGATTTCACATGCTACTAAAATTGAATACCATACACCACAGAAATGTGTCACAAAATACGACATCTCAAAACCAGTGGACAGCCTCTTCTGTCTCCCCATCGGAGGCCTCAGTCCTGAAGGAACCAAAAGATCCAGTCTCTTTTCTTTCACTCTCAGAGGCTTCTCTGTGAACCATTTACTGTTGCAGCCGCGAATGAGCGCCATGCCCCACAGGGAGGACAGGCTCACAGGGAGGGGAGGAGGCCACGGCAGGGCACAGGGCGAACCAGAGCTGAAGCCTTCTGGGTCCCGGCACTCAGTGCACAGAGGCAGAGGCCGCTCCTCAGGAGTGCTTTCCTGACCAGCAGTGTTGGGAAGGGAACCAGCTAAGTGAGAGGCTGGTTTTTTTCAGTGTGCCAAATTCTGAGACAAGGATGAGCCACTTATCAGACGCTCTCTCTTACAGTCACATGCCATACAACGATGTTTTGGTTAATGATGACAGTATAAGGTTACTACCATATGGCCTCAGTGTGTAGTAGGTTATACCATCTGGGTTTATTTATGGACACTATGATGTTTACACAACAATGAAATCACTTACTGACACATTTCTCAGAACATACCCCTGTTAAATGACGCATGGCTGTGTTTTCAAAGTAATCCTCCTACAAAGAACACTAACTCAAAGTTTTATAGCTCGCTAATTCTCTATCATCCACAAATTCAGAACAATCAAAGGATGAAAATTTTAAAACCCAAAATATGCTTACTATCACACTAAACCCAATGTATATGTAAACTACTAAAGAAAATAAATGAAGAGCTGCATACACAGTAGAGGGCCTCTGAGTGGAAACATTGTTTTATTCAGTGAGAAAGTTCTGCCTGTACATCTTTACTGAAATGACTCTTGCTAAGGTCATCAATTCATCCATTCACTCATTCACTCACTCACTTAACAAAACTGTGACAAGTACTGTTCTAGGGATGGAAATAAACAAAGACCTTGAACTTGTGGCCAAATCCAGTGGCTGGTCGACCTCCGTGACATTGCTGGCCATGCCCACCTGCTTGGAAGCGCCTAGTCCCCAATTCTCTTGACCCTTCCACTCTCCAGACTCAACAGAGACCTGTCAGGCTGCTCCTTCTTGCTCCACTTCACTGAGTCATGACAGGATGTGGGGTCCTCCAACGGCCAAGGGCCCTTCCCCTCTTCCCTCTTTCCGTCCCTTCGGAGATCTTATCCACTTCCAGTCTTGTGATTTGTAAATGCCATCTATACACAGATATCCCCCAGATTCCTATCTACAGCCCAGACTTCTCTGAGCTCTAAATATGAATGTCCAACTTCCATCCAAACAGGTTCTTCCTGCTCTAAGCCCTACCTCAGTGATGGGACAAGACCTGGAAGTCATGCTTAACACATGCCCCCTTCCTCACCCCACACGTAAATCAGTTGAGTTCTACTTCCTCAACTTCTCCCATAGTCATTCAATTCCATCACCACTATCCCAAACCAAGCTACAATCATCTCTTGCCTGGACAATGGCAACAATCTCCTATATGGCCTTCCCGTCCCCACTCTTGACCCTCTCAATCTCATCCTTCACACTGAAGCCTGAGAGACTCTTCAAAACATAACCTGATTACATTATTCCTCTGCTAAAAATCTGACCATGTCAACTTTCACAACTCTACTAAGACAAAAACCTTTACCAGGCCTACAAACTCCTGCCTCTCTCCTTTCATCTCATCTACTCTCTTCCTTCGTCTTTGCTCCAGGAGGACTGACCTTTCTTAAGCCCCTGGAAACTGCCATGCTCCGTCCCACTTTGCGGCCCTTGTGCTTACCCAGCAGTCTGTACCTTTTTCTCCAAAGCTCTGACTACAGTTTGTAATTATGTTTATTTCTGTGATTATTTATTTTGTAACTATCTCTGCCAGGAAAATACAAGCTCGGTGAGGCAGACATCGCGTTTCTTTCTCAACCACTGTAGTTCTAGCACCATACCCAGTCTTTACACATGAACATAAATAAATGGTGACACTTAAAAGTTAATTAATGGTGTTATACACCTTAAACTTATACAATGTTATATCTCAAAATAAATCAATAAAGAGCATGAACTGGGAAAAAAGTTAACTAACAGGACAGTTGATATAATTTACTTCATTCTATGTGCTAAAGAACTACCCCAAAGAATTAGAAGTATACAGAGATAATTTATATGCAAATGTAATAAAAATATAATTCTATGATCCTATGAATATATTTGATAGCATAAATAGTCCCAAAGAAAAGTTTAAAATATCTTAATTATAATGCAAATGTCAAATGATGGAATCAACCTCCATACTAATCACTCGGTGCTATATTCAGAAAACATTAGTATTTACACCGTGGATCACATATCAATTGGTCCAAAGAAGCATGGCCAGTAAGCACATAAAAAGATGCTCAACATCATTAGTCATTGGGAAATACAAATCAAAACACAATGAGATACCACATCACACTCACTAGGATGGTTATAATTTTAAAAAGAAAAGAAAAAGTGTTGGCAAGAATGTGAAAAAACTGGAATCCTCATACATTGCTGGTGAGAATGTAAAATGGTGTAGCCACTTTGGGAAACAGTCTGGCAGTTCCCAAAAAAGTTAAATAAAGAATTACCATATTATCCAGAAATTCCAATTCTGGGTATGTACAAAAAAGAAAGTTGAAAGCAGGGACTCAAACAAGTATTTGTACACCAATGTTCCTAACAACATTATTCACAGTAGCCAAAAGATGGAAACAACCCAAATGTCCATCAACAGATGAAAAGAAAAACAAATGTAGTATATACATATAATATCCAAATTAATGCCACTGAACTCTGCACTTAAAAATGGTAATTTTTGTTATATGTATTTTACCACAATAAAAAATCTTATACATGAATGTTCATAGCAGCATTATTCATAAAGTGTGATATATCCGTACAATGGAATATTTTTTCCAACAAAAAGGAATTAAGTACTGATTCATGCTACAGCATGGATGAACCTTGAAAACTGTATTAAGTGAAAGAAGCCAGTCACAGAAGACCACATAGTGTATGATTCCCATTTATATGAAATGTCCAGAACAGGCAAATCCATAGAGACAGAAAGTAGATTCATGGTTGCCTATGGCTGGAGGTAGGGGGAGGGAATGGGGATGACTGCCAGAGGATATGGGGTTTCTTTTTGGAGTGATGAAAATGTAAAATTGATTGTGGTGATCGCTGCACAACTCTGTGAAAATAAGTTAAATTGAATTGTACACTTTAAATAGGTGAATTGTATGGCATGTTAATTATATCTCAATAAAGCTGCTATTTTAAAAACATAATGCAGTTTAAACAACTGGATAGGTCTTCGGGGGGAAAAACTACCTCCCACTTTATACTATCTGAAATTAACTTTGATATTTAAAATATTTAAACTTTCTTAAAAAGGATCTATGATGGTACTAAAGAAAAGATGGGGGAGGGGGCAGCCCTGTGGCGTAGTGGTTAAGTTCGGCACACTCGCCCTGTGCTAACAACTGTTGCCAATCTTCCTATTTTTTTGCTTGAGGAAGATTAGCCCTGAGCTAACATCTGTGCCAATCTTCCCCTATTTTGTATGTGGGTCGCCACCACAGTATGGTTGGAAGGGGTGTAGGTCCACAGCCAGGATGCAAACCCACAAACCCAGGACATGGAAGAGGAGCAAACTGAACTTAACCACTACACCACGCGGCTGGCTCCTAAAAAATGTTTTTAATGAAAAAGTCAATAGCTGTATACACTTTAACTGCAGATTAGAAAACCTACAGGGTTTTTTCCCTGGGAAGAATCATGAAGACATAAGGAGAATCTATTATACAATTTTTGAAACAAATAAGGAAGTCAAGAAAGAGTAATAATAATCCAACAGGTGGTACAATGCCAGATACGACCTCCAGACACAAGCAGGCACTGTGTACTCACCAATGGAATGTTTAAGCTCGCTGCACTGGCTGACAGGGGGCAGCTTCAGCATCTCCCTCCATTTTTTACTACGACCACTTTTTTTGCCATATCCTCCTAAATTTGAAAAAAAAGGCATTTTTTTAATGGTCAGAAATATCCAATTATAACAACTACTTCCACTAATGTATTCTGTTTGAGTAGTTTGGGTACCTATGACAAATGAAAATACAAGCTTATAACAATTTGTCTTATCTGGAAGGCAGCTGGGTGAAGATAAAAATCTGTCACTGGCTCTGTCATTGAGAAACCATGTGACCTTGACTTTCTGGAAGTAGTTCTCCTGAGCTTAAGTTTCCAAATCTGTAAACAAGACCTAATACCACCTGTCAAACAGGGCTGCTTATAAACATTTGTTCAATAAGTATTTATTGAGCACCTGTTATGCACCAAACACCCTCAAAGTGCAGGAAACACAATGGTAAAAAGACAAAGTCCCTCTCCTCCATCTAGTGAGGGGGAGAGATAAGAAATCTGTTAGTAATAAGTGACAGGAAAGAAATTAGCCAATTGTAGCGATAAATAGTATGAACCAAAATCCAGCAAGACAATGGTGGAGGGTGCTATTTGGACCAAGGTGGGATCAGAGAAGGCCTCTCTGCAGGGTCTTGCTTAGGCAAAGACCTGAAGGACACGAGGGAGCCAGCACAGGACAAAACAGTGGAAAAAACTATTAGATAATATTTTAGAAAGATCTTTTTAAAGAAGTGCCTTTTAAAAAAAAGCTAAATCAGAGGAATTAGAATCTTCAGTTTTAAGCATTCCAAGGAGCTCAAATTTTACTGGATTTTATCCAAGAAAAAAACGTCACAGTTTTGGCTGGTGATTAACACTCTAGGACTATTGGGAAGAATAGGGAAATCAGGAGGAAAGTCATGTTTCACTGGGAAATAATGAGCTCTGTCTTAAATATGGTGAGCTTGGAAAACTGTGGGAGGAAGAAATCTGGAAGATGGACAGACTGTCATGAGCTCAGAAGAGACGGCTTGGCTAGAGATATGGATTTGACAGTAGTCTGCCAAATAGATAATGATCAAAGATGCAATGGCTTCTTCCTTGACCTTGTTTTTGCTCCTCTACTCCCCCCATTTCAACTGAGATTCTGAGCTCTAGACTTACATCCCACTGTCCAGATGTCCCAGAGCACCTCAAGCTCAACATGTTCAATTAGACTCATGATCTTCCCCCTCAAGTCTGGTCCTCTCTACATACTAGGAATCCTGCCAACAAACTACCATCTATTAGGCAAATGAAGCAGGAAACTGGGGCATTGTCTAATTCTATCTCCTAAGTGCTTCATTCATTTATTCAGAAGGCATTTGCTCCTGAAGTCCTGTGTGTTGGGCACTGTCCAGGAACCAGGCATACAGTGGAGGGTCAAGGTGGCTAGACCTGCCTTCAAAGGCATTCCCATCCCTCCTCTCCTTGCCTGCTCTACTGTTCTCTTTCACTCCAGGGTCATCACTCTCCTCAATCTCTCTTCTAATTGGCCTTCTTACCTCTGGTCTTCCCTCCCAGACCCTTCTCCACACCACCTCCCAGGGTCACCTTCCTAAAATGCAAATATAAGCTCATTTCTCCACTCCTTACAGCCCTAGAAGGTCTCCTGGAGACTAAGGATGAAGTGAGAATGAAGTGCAGCCCTGCCTAACATCATCCCACAGGTACACCATGCTCAAGTCACACTATTTACAAAAGTCCAAGAGAAGGAAGAGGAGGTTCCAGGAATCACGAGTGCCTGGACTGTTGCTCTGACATTATTAATCTAGGCAGATCTCAACTCAGCTCAAGCCAAACCACTTCCACGAAGCCTGCCCTGCCTAGGGAGAGGCAGGCACTTTCCTCTTCATGCCCTTTGCATCTTGAAATCATCTTCATTAAATCTCAATGAGGCCAGGTCCAAGGCTCATGGTCCTATTCCCAGTGTATCTCCAGCACACAAACAAATGATTGAGGGGATGGATAAATGGACCTCCAGGTGCCCAATGCACCAAGAGCAGTATATTGCACACAGGAGACACTACAGAAATGTTCACTAACTTTGAGTAGACCTGAAAAAACTGGAGATGCTGACTACAGGGAAGGGGTCAGGGACATAGATGAAATTTTCAAGGGCTAAGAGGAGGAAAAGAAGTAAGTTAAGATTTATTGAGTATGTAGTATGTGCCAGGCACCATCCTAGTTGCTCCACAGGTGTTGACTCATTTAACATCACCAGCTGATGATGTACATACTACCACTGCTCCCTTTCCACAGATAAGGGACTGAAGCAAACAGGTTTAAACAACAGTTCAACACACAACTAGTGAGAGTAGAACCAAGATAGAAACTCAAGTCTGCCTAACTCCAGGAAATCTGCTTAACCATTACTGTTGTTAAGAAGGAATAAGGTGTGGGGAGTAACATCAGCATAGTGATGGCAGAGTGAGCTCTATTGGTGATCTCTCCCTTCTACGATAAAACAAAAAGGCATCCATACTCCAACAGAGGACATCCATGCAACACACAAAAAAAATCTGAGAAACCCATGCAGCCATATGTCAGAGGGTGGAGAGGCTGGAGCTGCATGTGAAGGAGGTGGAACGGGTTAAGAGAAACTTCACCCCCTCTCCAAAAGACTGCGACCCAGGACTGTTTGTGGCCTTTGAAGGAAAGGGAGGAGGGAGGGAGCACCCAGTAGCAGGAATATCAAAGATCCCCAAGGTCCCTTGCAGCCTAGGGGAAAGCCCACTACTGAGGTGAAAGCTATCACAGGGGTGACTTCATCAAGCCAACACACCAGGAGAGAAGATAATGAGGGCAGAGCCACTAAGCATGCAAGAGCACACAGAAGAAAGCGCCCCTACCCCCACCTGACCAGCACCGGCTCCAGAGCCTGAGATCCCGGGGGAACACAGAGGGCTCAGAATATCCAGCTCTTCACCCATGCCTAGTGGCAATAGGTAATAACAGCGATTAATAATACCAGGATGTGGGAAAACAGAGCCACACCCCCTAGCACTATCAAAAATTACATTTGATCTCCAGACCAGAGAGAAAATGACAAGTACCCAGAAATCAGTCCTGAGGACACAGAAATATGTAATCTAAATGACAGAGAATTCAAAATAGCTATCATCAAAAAACTCAACTAGTTAAAAGACAATGTAGAGAAACAATTCAATGAGTTCAGGAACTACTTCACAAAAGAAATTGAAACGATAAAGAAGAATCAACCAGAAATGTTGGAAATGAAGGACACAATGGATGGGATAAAACAAAATATAGATTCCCTGAACACTTGAGCGGACATCACAGAGGAGTGAATCAGCATAATTGAGGACAGACATGTTGAAATGCTGCAGATAGAGGAGGAAAGAGAAGTAAGACTAAAAAGAAATGAAGAAAGTCTCCAACAAATATTTGACTCAATTAGGAAATGCAACATAAGAATTATAAGTATTCAAGAGGGAGAAGAGAAGGAGAATGGAGCAGAAAGCTGGTTCAAAGAAATAATAGCAGAGAACTTCCCAAACCTAGGGGAGGAGATGGAAATCCATGTGGAAGAAGCTATCAGATCTCCTAAATATGTCAACGTAAAAAGACCTACTGCAAGGCATACAGTAGTGAAACTGGCAAAAGCAAATGACAAAGAAAAAATACTAAGGGCAGCAAGGTGGAAGAAAATAACCTACAAAGGAACCCCTATCAGGCTTTCAGCGGATTTCTCTGCAGAAACCTTACAGGCTAGGAGAGACTGGAATGACATACTCAAATCTTTGAAGGACAAAAACTGTCAGCCAAGAATACTCTATCCAGTGAAAATATTCTTCAGATATGATAGAGAAATGAAAACTCTCCCAGAAAAACAAAAACTTCCCTGGTAGCCACAAGACACTTCCTACAAGAAATCCTCAAGAAGGCCCTCATATCTGGAAAAAAAAGGGAGAAAAGGGTTACAAAGCATGGATTAAGGAGATAATTAGGTAGACAAAATCAGAAAATTGTAACTATACATCAGAACAGGTTAGCAAATACTCAGGTATAACATAAAAGAAAAAGAGAAGGAAAGCACCAAAAACAAAGATAATCTTGTGATTTTAACCACAAACTCACAACACAAGATGGAATAAGATATGAGAAAAACAACATAGGAGGAGAATTGGAAAAGGACTGAATTGGTTTAGTCTAAGGAAATAAGAGGCCATCAGAAAATGAACTATCTTATCTACGAGATTTTGAATACAAACCTCATGGTAAGCACTAAACAAAAAAGCAGAACAGAGACACAAATAATAAATAAGGAGAAAACAAAGAAACACAACATAAAAAACTACATAACTCAATTGGTAGACCAAAATAGACAGGATGAGAAACAGGAAATGCAGGAGAACTGGAAAATGAGTGATAAAATGGCAGCATTAAGCACTCATATATTGATAATCACCCTAAACGTAAATTGATTGAATTCTCCAATAAAAAGACACAGAGTGGTGAGCTGGATTAAAGAACAAGATCCAACAATTTGTTGCCTCCAGGAAACACATGTCAGCTCCAACGACAAACACAGGCTCAGAGTGAAGAGATGGAAGATGATACTCCAAACTAATGGCAAACAAAAGAAAGCAGGAGTCGCAATAGTCATATCAGACAAAGTAGACTTTAAGATAAGACATGTAAAGAGAGACAAAGAGGGGCAGTATATAATGCTCAAAGAGACACTTCACCAAGAAGACATAACACTTATAAATATCTATGCACCCAACACAGGAGCACCAAAGTACATGAAGCAACCATTACAAACCTAAAAGGAGATATTAAAAATAACACAATAATGGTAGGGGGCCTCAACACTCCACTCACATCAATAGCTAGATCATCCAGACAGAAAATCAACAAGGAAACAGTGGAATTAAATGAAAAGCTAGACCAGTTGGACTTAATAGACATATATAGAACGCTCCACCCAAAACAGCAGAATATACATTCTTCTCAAGTGAGCATGAACCATTCTCTAAGATAGACCATATGTTGGGAAACAAGGCAAGCCTCAATAAATTTAAGAAGATTGAAATAAT